AAGGTTGCTCTCCTTTTATCTTTCTGGATTTTAACAATTGCAGAGTTGAGTGAACAGTTGGAGATCTCAGCCRTCTGTGTCTTCACTGCAGGCCACCGGTGATCAATACTGCTGGAACAGCAGAAGACACTGCCAGCACAGATAAAGGCACATTGTACATGACGGTCATGTTGTCTTGTTGTAACAGTAAAAAGGAGAAACAGGCTTTGCGTGAAAACATAAACAGATGGTTTTCATGAGACGTGCTAACTGCTCCCAATTATTTGACATTTTTATGATGCTAAATTTAACATCAAGGAATATTTCACATGTAGTTTTACAATGATTGATTATTTTAATCTTGTTTAAATTAAAGGAATAGAAAATAATGTATGTCTCCCACTGCCTTACATTCCAAAATTTTAAAGGAGACATATATTGCTTTTAAATCCTTTTTTTTTTCACATTCAAACTATTCATTTGGGATCTATATAAAAGGGAACAGCAATGCTTTTGTCTGAATTCTTCCTTATTGTAACTCCACAAGCCCCTTTTCACCATTTTTTTAAAGAATGTGTCTCAGATCAACTCACTTTGAGGCTGCCCCTTTAAATGCAAATGAGGAACTTCACGTGTCATCCCGTTCCAGCTTCCAGACTGGTCTAAAAGGTTTACGACTACATGGCGGTACAGAAACTTTTCAGCCTCTCATGTTGGAATCAGAGTCTGAATCAGAGCGAGAGGAGAGTGAAGATGACCAAATTTTAGTTGCTAGGTCCAGAYCKTATTTGGCTGTTTTGTTGCAAATAAGTTGATGTAATAGTTCAGAAATTGTTATAGAAAACAGAGAAAACTTCAGAATCAGAATCAGTTTTATTGCCATTGTCAATGAACAGGATTCACAGACTAGGAATTTGCTTTGGTGTAAAGGTGCAATAAGTGTAAAATATAACAAATAAAGAAAATACAAAGGATAAAGGAAAAAATAAATACAGTAATCAGAGATGATAATATAGTTGTAGTGCAATTAGATCCAGTGATAAAAGTGACCAGAAAAACAATATAGTCAGAGTTGTTTAAAATCCAGTGATAAARTGGCCAGCAGACTCATCACAGACTCATCTTAATGGGTTGTAAGATATTAGCAAAACAGAATATAAAGATATCTACACAGCACCAGGAGAGACTAAAGTCAACTTTTCTGTACTCATGATATGTCCCCTTTAAGTAAAAATGTATTGCAGTCACTTAGTGCTCAGATTATATGTGATGAGAAAGAATCTGAACTATTACCACATCAAGTGAAAAAAAAAAACATTTATGCCTTTAGAAACAAACACATACAGTCGCTAGTAGCAGGTAAACACATGTTGACTTTCAGGCAATTTGAAGACTAATCTTTGACATGAACCCTGAAGTGAGAAGAAGATTCAAATGGGAWAAAAAGAAGAGTAAAAGTATGATATGAAGAGATGTGTAAATTCTCCATCTCCCTCCTCTAAAGCCTATTTTGAAGCTAATTAAATAAAAAAAAGTTATCTCAGTAGAAGCAGGCCTCTGGCCACAGTGGGCTGTAAAACTGTTTCCACTGAAGGAATTCTGTGTTGAGACGCTGAGAGAAACGTGCCTCTGCAGAGGTTTTACTTGAAGCAGGAGGAGGAGTTTCTGTAAATCCCCTAATCTCAGCTTCCTGCCTCCAAAAGTGCTCCATTGTTTTAAAGGGCAAGATAAAGATAAACTCAGTGGAGATTTTAGATTTGATTCCAGAAGCAGCGATCTGTGCAAAGTGACCAGTCTGTCTGTGTTCGAGTCAGTCTGGCAGCATGTCTGGCTCCTTCGTCAGTTGCTCTTCCTTTTGGCTGCACACTCCTTCCCACTTCACCATGTACAGAGGAGGCATCTTAAGACTCCATCAGTCAGTGACACATGTTGTATTTAACAGCCTTCTTTGGGTCTCCTATTTTCTGTCATCCAGAGAGAGTTGATGCTTTATCGTTGCTTTTTGAAAATCTGTTTAATAAATCCTAAATGTTAGAGGTATTCTTTTTCTTAAATGTAAGCAAAAAAATAACAAAAGGCTGACATTTTAAATAATTACACCCCAAAATATAATCACTCTGTTTTAAACTATGAAACTACTGATTTGTGCAAAGCAATTTCCTTTGACAAGTCGCCGAATCCACCCTGGGACTGGGTGACATTTGCTTCAGGCTTCCTCAGATTGTGACTCCCTTCGTAATGATTCCTCTAACCTTTAGATCATGTCATTTTTATCATGTTGAAGTGCAAGTAGAGGAGAATCGCAGATTTGAGATGGTTGTTTTATTTTAAAAGATCACACGGGAGATTTACTTTGTGATTTAATGATTTTAGTATATGATCTAAAGAAAAAGTAAACTGCAATGTGCACGTTAGCTCCTGTTTGCGTGTTTGTGTGAGTTTAGTAAAATTTAAATCGCCGTCAGCATTCTGACTTTTCAGGAAGAGACCAGGAGCTCTTCAGGCTTCCTGTAAACAAGAGGAAACAGTCTGCAGTTCTGCATGCTGCGGTGTGGTGTTGAGGAACTTCAGATCTGAAAATGCCAACCAGTGAGAGAGAATTAGTAACACACATTGTTTCATGATTATAATGGGAGTTTTAAATTTTGACATTTAGCCTTGTTGAAGCAGGGAAAACAAAACAAAGAGAAGAATGTTTTCTGCATTGTGCTTGATGTTTGCATTGGAATATCTGTTCATATTGATTAGATCTGCTGGAATACTGCAGTGGAGTTGAGGTTGAAATGCTTGTTTCTATTATTGTTTTGGGGGAAAAAAGCATTGGTTTTATGTCAGGGGAAGACTGTTCACAGACCTTATGGAAAATAGGAAATTAGCCCATTGGATGATGTTAAAACTGTCAGAGAAAACAATAAAAGTGTACAAATTTATAATAGTGGTTAGTTTCATCCTCTGACATTTAAGGTGGAGCTCAGCCAACCAGAACCTCGACTGTCAGTTCTGCTTCAGGCGCAACAAAACGTTAGCTGTAATTGGACAGTTGGCCTAAAAATAGCATTCTCGTTTGTAGCCTGATATTTATTATCTTAGCTTAAACACTGTGAATTACTGTAGCTCTGTGATGCTTTTTTTAATGTTCAGGGCTAATCTTGCTGCAAACAAGTTTTATTGTTTGTTCTTAGCTCGAGGGCTGATGAAAATCTTTGTTTGCCTTTGTCAAGTTGGATACTTTAAGAGCAGCTGTAACCGGCCCCCAGTTTGAGCTGTCCTCAGGATAACAGATGACCTCTCAGACCGTCGACAGCCTTTATCTGAGTACGTGATGCTGTTGGTACTACAGCTGCTCCTCCATGATCATACTGTAATTCCTGTATTTACGAGTGCAGCTTGTTTAGTTTATCAACTACATTAAAAAAAATCCAAGAAAAAATTGCCTTTATCTAGTTTGCAGATAATCGTGTGACATCTTACTCCTTTGGTCATAGGATTCAGCTGTTTCTACAAGAAGAAAACAACATTCTGTTTCCCATTTCTTATCGTCCCCTAAGGAAACCTGCTTTGTTGCAAATTGTTGTGTTTATTGTAGAAGTTCCATTAAAAAAAGTTATGTTGTGCTTGTGGGAGACTAGTTGTAATTGTTTCCAGCAGCCTACTTGGTTCCAGCATTCTTGCAGTTTTTTTTTTCTTTACTTATATCCTCTAAAATGTTAGCTTCACTACATGTAAAGACTGATATATCAAGTTTGGTTCAGGTTCCTGCAACATTTGTGTAACAGAGGCAAGAGGAAGGGAGGAGAAGGGGTAAAAATAGGCTCTTTGGCTGCTTTGTATTGTGTAGAATCAGCATTTACACACAAAAGCAGTCAGGAAATTATCTGACTTGSTACCACTTGGGAATAGGTTCCATTTTACAGAAAAAAAACAAACATCTTATATGTGAATTTCAGTTTCTTATTCTGCTCATGAATGGGTTTAGGCTCTTATCAAGCTTTCCGCAAACATTCCAAACGAGCTGACCGGACTTTGTGATGATGCTCATCTTGCGAACAAAATGTGGGTTGTCTTCAAACTGGGGACAAAAGCACATTTATACGCTCACTTAAACTTTGGGAGAAGCATGCTTCCAGTGTGTCTCCACAACCACCAAACCCCCCATAAGTGGTGGGAGTCGTGAGGGCTGGTCGAAAAAGTTCCCCTTGGCTGCTGGAGCAGAGATAATTAGAGCCAGGTTCAGTCGAGGTTTTGGTATTCACAACTCAAGCCAAGTTTTGATCTTCACAACTTCTCTTGCCAGACAGAGGCTGTGTGTGAGCCGGTCGACGGACCAGGCAACATATTTTGACTTTTTTTTTCCTGTCATCCTGGCCCACTTCCATCAGATTGAGTTATTTATTACAGCTTGTGGATTAAGATGTTTAGAGTAAAGGTATTATATTTGGAAGGGTTATATTAATCTATCTGGATTTGTTTTGTTCCTTTGAAGAATAAAGGTTTATCCTGATGTGAATAGTTACCTTTTAGATGCTAATCTTAGGAGAAACTGTAGGATTTGAAGGTATTAGAGGGATGATGGAAGCTAAAGTCAGAGAAGTTAATAAAAATCCTTTCATTTTTTTTCCTCAAAACACCTTTTGTGTTTATGAATTAAGAGAATGCATCACTTAAGTCCTGACAAAAACATGCTAGAGCAGCACAAACTGTTAAAAAACCAATGCATACATCTCTCTATCTCTCTCTCTCTCTCTCTCTCTCTATCTATCAGCTGTATGAAGTGGAAAAAAACATTTAAAGTGGACTTTGGCCCTGCAACAACAACAAATCACTCTGTCTCACTGGAGGAAGCACCTTCTTGACCTCCTGGTGTGTTTCACAGAGTTGCTGATTGTTCTCAGCTGGTTCTGTTGTCCGAAGCTCTGATGGACTCACACGTTTTCTGCACATCGAGCTGTAGTTCGTCTGTCAGTTCGATCTGTGAGTGCTTTGCAGCATAATGTGTAATTATATGATGTGTCCGTTAACAGGTTGCAGGAAAGAAATTCACTCTGTGGGACGACTTCCTTGTTGAGGGCAGACGCACCAGTCAGCAGGAAATGGCTCTGGCTGATTTGATCCAGTATATAAAGGTACACCAAAAAAAAAAAAGAAAAAAAAAAGAAAAACACACACAGGCAAAAAATTGTATATAATTTGTTTTCCTAAATTTACGTTTTTATTTATTGCACGCAACAATCTTCTTATTAAAATGAACGACAAAGGCAGTGTATGCAAGAAAAACTGCAGCAAAAAAAAATTGCAAACTGATTTTCTCTCTATAAATTGTATTTTAAGTACATTTTTCAAACTCTGGAATCAAGAAGCATGTTGCATCAATCAAGCATTTAATTAGGATGTGTGCACCATCACCCTGCAGAATGCTGTGTTTTCAAACTTGTCCTGATGGACCAGTAATCCAGGTAAAAAAAAATATCAAAAAAAAAAAATAAGTAGGTCCTCTGGATGGGTTCTTCTTTAGTGAAACGTTTCGTCTCTCGTCCAGGAGACTTCTTCAGTAGAGATGTGACGTTCGCGAACGATCCGAATCTTTTGAACGGCTCTTTACAACGAACGATAGGAGCCGACTCGCGGGCAGTAACGAGCCATTTGTAGTTTTATTTCTTTTATTCCACATATAATCTTTATTTTTTCATACTTAAATTGCTCCCGATTTGCTTTTTCACGGAAAACAGGCGGAGTTGTGGAGTACAGAGGCTCACGGTGAAAGGGGGAGAGGGATTTCCTCTTGACAAACACATGGTTCCACCCATGTGATGGGATTACGTCATTATGTACGGCTACTTGATGACATATTTCCCTACGTGATGATGCAATACGTTCAAAATCGAACGGCTCTATGAAACAAATGGCTCCCCAAGATCCGGATCCCTTCAAAGAGCCATTTATCCCATCTCTATTCTTCAGTCTGATGAGTTTCAGGTGAACTCAGCCTTATAAGCACTGCCTCCGCATGGTGGACAAACAGGTTAGTCATATGCAAAAGAGGGCCATCGCCTAACAATAGGCTTGATTAGCTCTATTGTTCATAGAGGGTCATGTGCCCCATCACCTGAATTATTGGTTTGGATGCTTTGGATGCTCTTTTGCATGTGACTAAGTAGAGCTAATCAAGCCTATTGTTAGGCGATGGCCCTCTTTTGCATGTGACTAACCTGTTTGTCTATGTGGAGGCAGTGCTTATAAGGCTGAGTTCACCTGAAACTCATCAGACTGAAGAAGTCTGTTGGACGAGAGACGAAACGTTTCACTAAAGAACCCAGCCAGAGGACCTACTTATTTTTTCTTTTTGATTGTTTTCAAACTCCAGCTACAGATGCTAGCCTAAGGTTTTGTGCTGCAGCGGAGACGGATACATCTTCTGAACTCTAAAATATTGTCATTTACGATTTGATGTCAGCTCTGTCTCTTAGTAAAATATCTCATGAAACACTTGATGGTTTATATTGGAACTTTCAGGAAGTAATCAATGGACGGTTATCTGTCGAGTCAATCCAATTCAAGATTGTTGCCACAGCTAACTACTTTTAACAAATTTAAAAATGACTATAATTCAGTCAGTTTAACAGATGTTGAGCTAAAGTTTTATTTGGTAGTAGCTGAAAGTCTTTCACAACACATACTCTAAACATGAACTCTCATGATATCACTAGTGATTGCACAAAACAGTATTTTCAAGGATTGACTAAAACGACTATGCCATTTTTTTCCTCAACACCAGCTGAATTTATTAATAAACTCTGCTAAAGAAGCTGCTAAAGAGTTCTACGATGATCAGATGTGTTTGAGCATCATTCCACAAGCGGTGCACGCTTCTTTCTGGAGATTTCCTCCATTCTATTTGTTGGAGATGTCAAGTTTCAACAAGGCTGGTTGAGCAGCGTCGGTTCAGGCATTTTTCAGGCCTCTTGCCTGATGCCTGACTGAGTTCATGTCTAGACTCTGTTTGTGTCTCTGCAAGATTTTCAGAGTTTTCCTAAAGGCACTCCTGTGTTTTCTTAGCACTATGCTATCTGTGGTCACTGTCGCGCTGAAATGTAACCCATGAACCTGAGCTGTCAGTGTCACATCCTGCCTTGTCTCGCTGCACGTTTCACAGGAAAACACTGTTGTCAACATGGAATGATGCTGATGTGATGATGCTCAGTGTTTGTTTCCTCCACAAACACAGCTGGTTTATTTTTATCTTTGCAGCCTCTGCTCTGAGAAATGCTTATTTCTATTCTGTTGTCAGTATATGGAGCAGTAATTATTTAGGAATGCTGTGCTGCATGTTTAATCAAATGCAATGTTTTTGTGCAGGAAATGCATGGCTTGAACATTTGCAGTCTATTCTACGGACCTGCTATCCTTTACAATGGACACGAAGACAGGCTGAAGATGAGGTACGACTCGCAGACACGATGCACATGGCTTCCCTCCCACATGCACAAACCAAATCACAGAACGCAGTGCTCCTTTGTTTGTTTAGAGAGACTAATGGCAGGATGAGGTGTTTCCTCCGGGCCTGTTGACACTCACTCACGCGTCGCTGAACACAGATGACCGAGTCGCCTCCTCGGGTTTCTGTTTGTCGAGGACGAGCGTTCAAGAGTTAAACCGGGGTGAAGCTCGGCATCCCAGAAGCCGATCCGTTCAGGCCTGCTCAGTTCTGCGCGCCTTTGATGAAGCCTCGGGGCGAACGAATCAGCTGCCTTGTGCTGTGAAATCTTCCTGTCATTCAAAAAAAACTTAAGCACAACAGAATATGGACCCTGCGGGGGGAGTGTTTAAATACTTTCGCGACAGGATAAATATGTGCAATCAGTAAGTTTGCATGCAATATTTGAGTGGTTTGAAAATTCAAAGCTTTGGGAAGAGCACAAACTGTGTATATGGGTGATTATTTTGACACTCGAGTCTCTGGGGAGGCGGTGTTTTGGTTAGATTAGGCTGCAGGGACCAGCGGTCGGGAGGAGGCGGGGTGGGGGGCAGTATCCACATGACAAATGCTTCAGTAGTCACTTCCTGTGCAGCCGCCCTACTCCAAGCTTCCTGTGTCGAGCCACAAAAACACAAAAACTGATAGAAAAAAATGAAATTTAAAGGAAAACTTAGTGAAATTAGTTTCCAAGAAGGTGAAAGATTTTAGTTTCTTGCACAAAACTGTTAAATTATTATTATTATTGTCCTGATGCATCTCAGTAATCCAGGTAGAAGAAATCAAAAAGAAAAAATAAGTAGGTCCTCTGGATGGGTTCTTCTTTAGTGAAACGTTTCGTCTCTCCTCCAAGAGACTTCTTCAGTCTGATGAGTTTCAGGTGAACTCAGCCTTATAAGCCCTGCCTCCACATGGTGGACAAACAGGTTAGTCACATGCAAAAGGGGGCCATTGCCTAACAATAGGCTTGATTAGCTCTATTGTTCATAGAGGGTCATGTGCTCCATCACCTGAATTATTGATTTGGATGCTTCAGTTGTGGTTATTTGGTGTTATGTGTGTAGTGAGTGCAGGCAGGCGGGGCTCAACATCTCCTTGTTTTTGTCTGTTTTTTTTCCCTCTTTGTGTTGGTATCATTGGGGCCCTGATTCACACCTTTTGCTCACAGGGGGCTGAGTCATACTTGCAATAACAGCGTTGTAGGAGGAAGACAACTGGACACGAAGGCCTCCACCTCTGTTTAATGGTGGACCGTTTTTCGTCTCAAAGATGGCTTCCTTTACTCCTCTCTCAAACCACCGTTCCTCTCTATCTAACTATCTATCTAACTAATTGTTTCTAACAATAGAGCTAATCAAGCCTATTGTTAGGCGATGGCCCTCTTTTGCATATGACTAACCTGTTTGTCCACCATGTGGAGGCAGGGCTTATAAGGCTGAGTTCACCTGAAACTCATCAGACTGAAGAAGTCTCTTGGAGGAGAGACGAAACGTTTCACTAAAGAAGAACCCATCCAGAGGACCTACTTATTTTTTCTTTTTGATATTATTATTTTTGTTATTATTATTTAATTCTGTGTTTCTTCGTATGAAAATAACATGATGCATATTTCTTTTTGCAGTGTGTCTGACGTGGTAAGAATGGTAACAAAGGCAGACATCCCCTCTCATAAGAAGGTCCTGGAGTTGATTCCATCATTTGAGGAAGATGAAGACTCCGAGACGGTACCAACCATCAGGTACCGGCTCATGTGATGCAGATGACTCAGAGTTTCTACAAGCTCCTCACTGCTGAGAGATCATGAAATATAACGAATGACTTGACTTTTAAAGCTGTTGTTTACTGATTCTGAAATGTGAATGGTTTTTAAATGGCTCGGGGTATCTTTTTCTTGTCAGTGTTTATTGTTAAGCACTCCTTACCGTGTTTTTTTAAATGATAGTTTTCTCAAAAATTCCCAGAGATGTGAAGATTCTCTGATGCTGAAGCTGGTTTGTCTCAGGTTAGAGTCGACTACAGAGGGGGTGCAGGAAAAGCTTCATCTGTCCTCAGATGGTTTGTGTTTCCTGCCCTCACATTCGACCTCACAGTGTTTCTTTTTGCACTCTTAAATGATCTCACTGATAGATATTCCTCTAGTTGTCTATTTGAATTATGTTCTGCTGATTATCTTTTAAAGTTATGATTTAACAGTGATTGTAAAACAAAGATTAAAAGTTGTGATTAAAATTGGTTTTAACAATATTTTTAGTTTTTATGTGTACTTCACTTATGAAACTCACTTTGCTAAAGATGTTTATTAAAGTGCCTGTGGCATGTTTGTCCTTCAGATACAAAAAGTCAAAGAAAACTTTGTTCTATTTAAGAAACTTGGCATACCACACATCGTTTTACCCATTTGGACACATAATTGAATCATTTTCTTTTGAACTTGGCTTGGCAAAAGGGAAACAGGAAGTGACATCAAAGGGGAACTCCTTTAAGAAAAAGAACACACTGGTCTTTGTTTGTTGAAACATTATCATTTGAACTCTGACTCTTTTTTTTCTGTCTGATAGCGACTCAAAATGAGCTAAAACATTAGATTCCTCTCCACAGTCTGGGCTGTTGAGCATTTTAGCTTAGCTCTGTTTTCATGCAGACATTCCCCTTTGACATCACTTCCTGTTACTTCACCTGCAAATATCTCAACAACTGTTCATCTCAGCAGCATGAAATTTATTTCATAAAATGTTCTCAGTGTTATCTTTCCAAAAAAGTGTTTATGCATTATTACAAAAGTTTTGATGTCACAGGCACTTTAATGTTTCTTTTTTCCCAGTCTGTGTTTGTACAAAGGTCAAACCTTTTGGTCTGTTAGCAAAACATCTCACAAACCACTGGGTGGATTTTAATGAAGCAAACAGAAAATAATCACCGGATTTACATCTACAACTAATGAACTTTTAAAGCCAATCCAATCCAAGAGGGATACCTCAATTAACTGATATTAGCCAAGACAAAAATGTCTGTGAATAAGATAGTGAACTAAAATTAAGTGTGGTAATAGCTGAGAGTTACTCACACTACAGAGGCTGGGAGACATTTTGCAATTTAGTATATATTTGTTCATAAAATGAATTTTCAAAGTTTGAACAAATGGATACAGTGCTGTTGTTTTCGTTAAAAATGTTTAGTTTAAAAATCTTAAAAATGGGATAACCAGCAMTCCAAAAATGACCATGTTTTTAATCAGGGCAGAAAACAGGACATGTTTCGGCTACATGCCGTCGTCACCTTGTAGAAATAAGTGATGTAGAACAAGTTGACGACTGCATGTAGCCGAAACATGTCCTGTTTTCTGCTCTGATTAAAAACATGGTCGTGTTTGGAGTGCTGGTTATCCCATTTTAATGATTCTTCAGAACCGAGCACCCATTTACTCTTTTCCCTTTTTTGTAAGGAAATTTGAGTTGTGCGCACCAGAAAATTTTTTTTTCTAGTTTAAAAATCTGACATTGACACTTTACKCGTAGGAGCTCTTTTTTTATGAAACTTATTCAGTCATTCAGATATGGCTAAATAAAAAAATGACCTTTTTAAATATATTTTAATAAGTATTTTTTATTTCTTCAAAAATTYCCACTTTAAATACAAAACTCTGGGTGAAGTCTGTGTAAACAGATGAGTCTCTGGGTGCTGTTGTCCTGGTTAAATGTATCCAATGATGTCATTGCATATGATGGGGTGCCGGCTGCCTGTCTCCATGAGAGCTGTGAACTTGTAGAAGTCTGAGTCGGGTTCGTGCAGCCCCGTGTGAGACTGATGAAAGAAAGGTTTCAGAGCCTCAAATCCCACAGGACAGGACCTCCGCTGGAGAGCGTCTGCAGCTCTGCTCGGCCTCGTGGACTCTGCCGGCCTCGTCCTCAGCTCCACGCCTTTAGACATCCCCGCCAGCTTCCGCCTCATGTTTCCCAAAATGTCCTTTGCGAGACGCCGGCCTCCGCTGGGCTTCAGCTCCGTTGGCTCTGGATAGTCTGGCAGGTCCATCCAGTTCTGTATCAGGTCAGCAAAACTGTTGTCCCCCAGAACCAGGGGTTGTCTGTTTCTACTGCGGCTGAGCAGAGAGGTCGCCCAGTCCTCCGCGTCACCGGCTTCAAAAGACGTCCAGCGCTCCAGGCAGGCGTCAGACGTGGATTTGGGCCGGATCCGATGCGTGCGGACGCAGGCCGAGGAGGAAACTCGCACGTTTCTGGTCCTCCTCAGCACCACGCCCTCATCCTGCCAGGAAGCCTCTGAGAAACCTGAGTCCAAATCGACGCTCTTCTCGCTGCTGGGGGAGCCTCGGGTCAGGCGTTCGTGCTCCTGCTGCTCTTCCTCCTCCTGCTCCAGTGGGTTGGCCAGGCAGCAGGCAGAGTCGTAGGTGCTGGCCACACTGGCATCAGAAACCCGGAGGCGGGTTAGCCGCTCCTGCTGTGCCCTCTGTTTGCAGCGCCTTGTGACGATGAACGACTGGGGGCAGGGTTCACTCAGGGGCCTGGGCCTGCCTATCTGCTTCAGGTCCTGCAAGGATCTCATCATGGACTGCATCTGGTCCCGGARGCACTCGGTGGAATTTCCAAAACACAGCTACACGAGAAGAAACAGCACAAATAAACATGAAGAATTGCTTTAAAGTCAACTAAATCATGTATTGCAGCAAACAGAGCTCAATCATCCCCACTGTGCCTCAGCTGGTGGAGCTGAGATACGACCAAGTGCAACAGAACTGAGCCAAAAAGATTTTTACCAGCTGAGGTCACTCAGCTTTGCAGTCATATAACAAATCCTGACAAACCTTCAGAGCAGCTTTATGAAGACCAGAAAATGAAACGTTCAGAATGCAGAGAACTTTGTCAGATGTTGGAAAAAAAAACAGTCCTGCCTTCAAGAACACTTTGGACTGAAGCTTTCAGGCTCACATCTCATCTCTGGACTCTTTTAGCCYCACAGGATGTTGAATGGTGTGTATAATGAAGCAGGAAATGATGGAAGCCTCATGGAATTACACACAAATCCTGTACTCGTCAGGATGAGTATTCTTTTTCAACCCCAGTTTTCTGAATCATAACTGACTCTTAAATTCATTTATTCTATACAATTGTTGAAAAACCCCTATTGTGTCAACAAGTCTGTGTCACAGACAGTTTAGTCAAGCCCTGGTGTCCTGCGTGTGTTTGGTTCGGAGCAGTGGTGTTACTACAATGATGTTATCACAGCTGTGGGTGCTGAACCATTTGGTCCTTGAGAAAAACTTATCAGACTTAAAGAGACAACCACAGGGCCGCTCTGTGGTCAATTAAAGTGCCCCGATCTTCTTGACTGCTCTCACACAAAGAGAAGAGGTGATTCAGGCATTTAGCAAAAGGCAACTAACTTGGGGGAGATAAAATGCTCCAGTGTTGCTGAAATCATAAAAAATAAAAAATCCTGAATCCAGTTGTTTTAGTGCCTATATTTCAGCATCTAAATCTATCTAGATAAGTAATCAGAGAAAAAGTAATCAGCTTACCATTCCCTGTAGTATTTGCAGTGTAGTTCACAAGCTCGGTTTTCTTCTGGAATAAAACAAAAGTGTAAGGATATTTAACAATAAAAGTTCATGCATTTTCCTTAAAACAACACTTGAAATGTAATAAAACTTACTTCTACGTGTAGTTCAAGAACAACAATGGTAAAAGTCAACAAGTCCACCAGCTGATTGGAGGTGATCTGTCTCTGTGTATCTGCTCTCCTCTGGATCCAGTCCATGGGCCGTCGGCCGAATTTGACAGTGCTGAGTTTTCTGCTGCAGCCAATCAGTTCTGAGCATCGACAGAATCAGCCAATGAGAGGCCGCCTGAAACAGGATCCCCTTCCTCATTGTTCCTGCTGTGGAAACTACAGCTGGGACTTCACATCTGGATCTGCCCAGTCTGTTTCCATCTGATACCAAATAACTTATTATTTTAGATGTTTTTTTTTTGTTTAATCAGTTGGCGTAGTTCCAATATTTTTAAAAGTTGAAAATTCTTAAGACAAACACTGTTACAACTCTGTCCTTAATTGGTGAAAATTGAAGACATTTATTTTAAAATGTCATGTTTTAAAGTTTTAATCTATACAGTCTGGCTCAGAATGCACAGAAACCAATAAAACACTGACTCAACTTTAAAAAACTGAAATAATCTGTCACACCTAATATTTTAACCATTGAACAAATGTAAATAAATTACTTAGTGTAACCCTAATTGTATTTTGTCAATGCTAAAATGTTAAGTGTGTCAAGTTACTTCAGTTTTTTGAAATGTCAAAAAATGTCAGCTTCATCCTGTTGTGTGTTTTACAGAGTTTGTAAAAGTTCTCAGTTTGATCAAAATTCATTGCACAGATTTTAGTGAAATCTAAATAGCACCACCTTCTGGTTCCTGTTGCCCCTCACATGTTTTAATGCAAACATTTGTTTTCTTGTTCATCAGATGCAAAAACTCAACTCGAGGCTGGCTGTTGTTTGCAGACATACATGCAGTGCCGTTTAATCCACTGGTTCACAAACTTCTTGTACTTATGATCTATTTATGACTACTGTTTTTATTTTTAACAGTTGAGGCTAAATATCCCTTTTTTTGCAATTTTGTTGTTGATTCCTATCTTGTCAAGACCCCTCTTGTTCTTTCATGACTCAGAACTTTGGGAACTACTGTCCTAAATCTACATCTTGTATTTCAATAACTTCTGCTAAATCTAAACTAATAAATCTGATTAATTACATTTCAATATGATATGAAAACACAAGCAGAGGGGTGACGTTTTATAATTGTGCAAAGAAAGTTTTAAATATAATTAGGAAACAGTTAAAGATTCAAATGAACACATTTGTCAGGGATGTTGTGTGAAGAGGAGTTGTGCTTATTTAGTAAATAAAAAAATCTTAAATTAGAAAACTGCAACGTAGAAATGAAACAAACATCTACAAGAAAAATACAGGAAAAAATGCCTTCAAGAAATTAATTATACTTTACGTTTAGATTTGTATACATAAATACATTTTTAGCCTATATTTGTGCAGAAGCAGCACAAAACTGACATCTGAAAATTCACTAGTTGTTTTTTTTTTTTTTTTGCACTACTTACATGTTGGCTTATTGCTTTCTTACATGATTTTGTTCTTGCATTTTTTAATTACTTATTTACTATTTTATGGGAAATTAATCACACTCTATGCCTGAGTTCATACATTTTGGCTAAGGATGAAGGAACATAATATTTTCTCTGAACATATCACACAGCAGCTAGAATTTAATGTGGTCAAACTTTATTTACATCAAACAAGTGAATGGCTTTAATATTAACATTAATGAACGATTATCATCCGTTTGTTTCTGTGCAACGCTGTATCTGAAATCATGTCATTTTCTTTGTGAACTTAGGTGGAGTAGAAATAGCCCTAATTTCACAACATGGAGTTTGCACGTCTCTAAAGAACAAGTGTAAACAGATATCAAGGCACAAACATATGTAAAAAGACAAACAGAACAGACATAAAATCCTGCAGATACCTTAAAAGTGACACGCTTCTGTTTTCTTTTTACTTTTTCAACAAACAAGATGCTTCAGGAATGTTCTTCCCTTTGCGGGGGCGGCTACAGGCTAATCTAAGACAGTCATGCAGAACGATGCACTATACAGGTGTGAATATTGAGTCAGTGTAAACAGTGTACAAAAACAGTTTCCTTCCATTCAGTCTCGCATGCCTGTAAGGTTTTCCTCTAAAAATAAGCTCTGTGCAGTTTGAAAGGTTCAATGAGCTGAGCGTTAACATAAGTTGAAGCGATTTTTTATAAAAAGTAGTTTTCTTATCATCTTCCTCCTAAGCAAAAAGAAAAAAAAGAAAGAAAGAAAAAGTAATGGACAATGTCAAATCAGACTGTGCAAATTAAATAAATGCTTTTAAAAAAGGTTCTTGGAGATCTTTTAATGATAAAGTGAATTTGAATTTAAGTTGGATTTCCATTGATTGTGTGCTATGAGGACTACCTCGGTGAAACTACTTGATTGATACATTTTATTGTTTAGTCACAGCGGTAAAAGTGTCTTGATTGATTGCTGAAGGCTCTCGTAAAATTAGAGGGACATTTGCTAAAAACGTTATGAGCAACAGAAGTTGACGCTTGTGTATTATTGATAGTAGAAGCTCCAGCAGAACCCCCACTCCACCCGTCTTCAGAAATCAACTCTTATCTTGGTTTTCATTATAAAAAGCAGGAATCATCACATGGCTATTGCAGTCCCTCATGCAGTCTGTGTGCATTGGGCAGCATTGTCCTGCAGAAAGAAAACAAACTGACTTTATTCTAGTGTACAGCGATAAGTTCTGCCATGAGGTACAGGTTCATGAGGACCATGTGTCAAACTCAAGGCCCGCAGACCAAATCAGGCCCTCGTTAACAATTTATTCGGCCCCAAAGGTAATTCAATAAATGTAAAATATAGTTTTATGATTTCTATGTTTGTCACTGTATGTAATCATTCATGACAGTTTGTCAGCTTTTAAGCTAAGAAAATGATTTTTTGCCCCCAGAAATCTTCAAGTTTAGTGTGGAAAAACAAAAAGCAACTGAGAATCGACTTTAATTATCTCTTTCTATATTTTTAAATGTAATCATTTTTTTTTCTTTATTTGTTGGGTTATGGATGTTCTAAATACATAAAATATAATTTGTCAATTGTATTTCTATAGGAATAATTTGTTTGACAACATTTTTTTCAATGAATATTGACAAAGATTGTCCCTTGGGTTGGACCAAGGTTTGAATTTTGGCCCTTTTGTGTAACTGAGATTGATACCTCTAATAAAGACATACAGTGGTTTGCAAAAGTATTCATACCCCTTGAACTTTTCCATATTTTGTCACATTACAACCACAAACATAAATATATTTCACTGGA